CCTTCCTTCCTTCCTTCCTTCCTTCCCACATATAATATAGGCTTGCACCATTTGCCCTCCCTTCATGACCCTCAGGAGAGCCCCAGGGAAGCCTCCTCCTCCTCCTCGGCTGACCTGCAGAAATGCCTGCCACTTTGCTGCGGGGAGGTAGAACAAAAGGAGCTGCAGACCACGAGGAAAACTGAATCCCCACTTCTCATTCTGGTGTGTCCCCAAGGGCCCCCTCCCTCAAGGAAGGAAGAGGGCTCACCCATCAACCACCAGAGCCCCCCAGCCAGCCCTACTTTGCCAGCAGGCATCCAAATCACTCCCTCATCCTTTCCTCAATGCCCACCACCATTAAGAGATTTAAAATTTTGGCCTTCGTTCCAAAGCAGCCAATCACTGCTCACCCGTCAGGCTTTGCTGCCAGCTGGTTGGGCACAGGGGACAGAGGGAGGTGGGAAAGAGATCACATGACCTGGGCTGACCATGGTGGCGTGGCACGCAGCAGTGCTGAAGTGGCCACAAATTTCCCAAATTTCAATCCCACAGGAGTAATGGGTCCCAGATTTTGGATGCAATCTGTAAGTTAGCCCGTCTGAGATACCTTGGTTCAAAAATTGTTGCCGTATGATGCCCCATTTCATCCAGTTGAAGGTTACAGACACAAGAGTTTTAGTAGTATATAGATAGAACAATATAATCATTGGACTGTGATCTTATTGGGGTAAATAAGCATAGTCAGTGCTGTCTCCTGATCTAAGAATAGTAGAATTATGGGAGAGAGTTAGGACTGCCTTAAACTCATATTTTTCTGTAATCAAGAATTTATTTTTTATTTAATATTCTGTATGAGATAAGATAGGAAATTAAGAAATGAAGTCTTCAAATATTGTACACACTTATCTGGGAATAAGTCCCATTCCATCCAAAGAGGCATACTTTTTGACTAGATGTACATAGGATTACTCTGTTACCAAGAAGAAAGCCCCATGGATTTCTGAGTAAAACTGCATAGGATTGTTCTCTTGGCTCTCTATTTATTTTTTATTTTCATAGTATCAGACGATTAGGAAGAAATTAATTGGGAAAAATACCAATGGAGTACGTGTGTGTGCATGTATGTCTGTATAAATTTCTGTGAGTTCCAGATAAAATTGCATATAAATATAGTACATATATTTATGCTTACATACCACTTTAAAGTCCTAAATGACTTAGTGTCCAATAGTCTGCGAATATGCCTTACTTGGTATGAAGTTGTGTAATTACTGAATTCAGCAGGATGCTCTCTTAAAGATGCTATGAATTTTAGAGCACTGTTCTTTCTCACACAGAGAAGGTATGTCAAACTCTATATGAAAGTTTTCTTAGCAGTTGCACTTGGCCCCCACACTCTTTGACTTGAAGAAAGGAGTAAAACTTTGCTCTTCAGTTAGGCCTTTTGAATTGGATTCTTAGTGATTCCAGCTGCTGTTGATGCATTTTTAATTCATGATTTAACTTTGATACTATGTCTCTTCGGTGTCTCGAGCACTCTTGTCTCTCCCCCACAGCACTCAGTTTGAAGTCCCTATAGTTTAGGTTTGCAAGGTCCCTTTCAAAACACATTTGTCCCAGTTCTTTTGATGTACTTCTCAACTTTTGCCAGGACTCCCTCATTTTTCATTATCAAAAAATCAAATCCATTCCAGCTGCCATCATCTCAGTAGTCCTTTCTTCACTACCAGTATTCTTGCTGCCATTCCTGGGCCATGTTCCTGGACAGTAAGAAGTGAAGAAAACATAATCTTGCCCCCATCTCCTTCAGCCTCCTGCTCACTGCTTCATAGTCCCTTGCAGTGTCTTCAGGTCTGTGACTGGTTATATTCCTACATGCATCAATAGAAAGGGATATTTTTTGAGGGGGGGGGGGTGTTCTGTCACATCCCAAATAGGTGCTCCAGTCTCTTGATATGCTATCTGGCTGACAGATTGCTGCTTTGGTCTCTCTCAGTGTAAAGTCTCTGATCACCCCTACCCATTATTTTCTTGTCTTCAGGGCAGGCACAGGAATCCTTCTTTTTGTATAGAGCTTATTGAGTTGTCATACTTAATTCCTGAAGCTTGTGGCAACTGCAGTTTATCTGGGATCCATATGCCTCCTAATTTTCTGTCATGGCAACTGGAAGTTAGTGATATCTTAGTTTTTTTATTTATTTTTTCCCTGATCATAGATGTTATATTTCCCAGTTTGTAATTTTTGATGCAGTATGGTTAGGGACCTCCTACCTGTGTTTCCCTGGCTTTTCTCCTGCTTTGCCTTGTCCTTATTAAACCTAGATTATTCTTTCAGAATATCCTCCAGTTAAATCTGCTTCATAGACAAGGCAATCTAGCATGAACAGCCAAGGCTAAAGGCTGTCAAAGCATCAGTTCAAGCTTACCTGTGTGTTGCCACTTGAGAACTCCCCCAAGATGTAAGCTGATTTTCATATGGTAATGCTTTTGCGTGTTCTGTCAGAAGAGCAATCAGGAGCTTGTGTAGGTGACTAGGTAGGACATAAGAGAGGTTGTTGATCTCTTGACTTGTAAAGACATTCTGTCAGGCAAGCTGAGCCTCACAGCAGTTGAGCTT